TTTTCATCTGCCAGTTTGATTTTAGCTTCAAGATATATTTTCTTTCATTCTACTTCACTGTAGTATAAAAAATATGTATATTTCTTGAAGCTTCTCAGAATTTGTTGAAGAATGTTCCCAAAAGTGTACATAACTGTCAGAGAAAATTTACAGAATACTTGAGGATGATGTACCCTAGTGTGCTTAAATTTTTTTAAAGAAAAAAATGTGGCGCTTGAGTAAATTAAATAAATTGTGGTGCCTTTTGTAAGTAAATCATAAGACATCCCATTGAAAACCTGTCCTGAACCTAACCGAAGTGTTGCTTCTTCTGCTGGATATGGGTTTCATATAAGTTTGGCAAATCAAAATTAAAATACCGGTAGTACAGTTCCAGTTTTCAACAAAGAACAACTCTTTGCTTGATTTATTGCTCAGCATATGCACAAATAGCTGGAAAAATTGTGATTTATCAAGTTAAATGTGAATTCTATGCGTTCGAATTTTTATTCTATGCATTTTAACTCCATGTTTTCTTATTTCTCCATTCTATCAAGGGAAGAGAGGCTACAAGCGGAATTCTTGCGATTCAAGTATTGGAACGAATGCCATGACTGGAACTTGTTGAACTCGGACCTGGACGCTGGCTTGGTTCCCGTTGAACAATTGCTGAATATAAATCGTGCCGGTAAACTTGCTAAAAATTTCGACATCATATATGGAACGTGATCGATAACGGAAATTCCACGGAAAGATCAAATATCGTTTGCATCTTGGCATTTCCATTTCGTAATTTTTCATGATCGGTGTTTTTGAATACGAGATTTGGTCGTTATTTTTCGAAAAAGAAGAAAATTGCTTGTATTTTCTACTCGTAGTGGCATTTCATGTAATTTGTGAGACTGAAATCGTGTGTGTCAACGTCAACGCCTGATGCGGGCTTCGCGGTCTTCAAATCTATCCAAAAAAAGAAAGCAAGATCTTCTAATTGATTGATTTTTTCTAAGTAAAGATGTCACTTGTGCCTATTGTATTCTTAGTTTACTTCTTCGGGTGAATGTAAAACATGGTATGAGTGTATGACATTGGTTAAGATTAGAAGGTTTACGATGCTGATAACCGTCGTTATGGCTTTGGCACAGTAATGTATCATACAGCAATTTTGCTTCCTTGGTAGTGACTTGTTCATTCATGTTTCTATTGTAACGCATCATATTCAGACGAGCACAAACAATAAGATTGCATTGATTCGAAACTTCCTGGGAATAAACGTGGGCTCAGAAAAGGTTGAAAAACAGAGGTGTTGTTTTATTCCTTTCATTATTTTGTTCATTGCATGTGATTGTATGTATATATGTATGATACATGCAAGTATAAAGCTCAGATGTAATCAGTTAGCGCCTTCAATAGGATTATATACAAAGTGTGATCTGTGACTCAAATCCTGGATTGAGCGAGGAAATATTTTCTAAAAATCTAAGGATTGTCCCAGTTGGATGCAACCTAGGATATTTTTGGATCATTGTATGTGTATACAATTGTAAAAGGATAAAATCAAGGCATATATTCCATGATGTTCTGATGTTTAAAAATTTTTCTGAATAGAAAAGGATGGCATTAGAATTTACTGAATGCTGACAAAAGAAAACTTTTCAGTTATTGCCAGAGTTCTCACTCATGTTGCAAGGTGCTGAAATGTATCAGCTGGCTTTAAAAAATTCTTTTTTACTGTTTGTACAGTGTTTTCACTGTTTATAACAGTTAGAAAGGAGAATTTCAATATTTTAGCTGGCTTGCCAAATTCTGGTAAAAATCCCATCAATTGGCATTCAGTAAAAGAACAGAGAAACCATCTCTGAAGATGCATTCCATTACATCCATGTTGTATCATGAAATATTTTATGGTCTTGTCAATTCTACCATACAGTAGACCACCAGCTGTACATACTGAGAGTGTACCTGTGTACTGTATTGCAAAGAAATAAGAAATACAACTCAGTAAATTTTCTGCTATACAGTAAATACCTTGTACCTTTCCGTTGCAATTGACATCTACAGCTAGTGACATCTGTCTATTTTGTACAGTAGCAAACCGGCCAATTGACTACTAATGCTTATTGACTCGGTGGGCAATCCAGGTGAACGCCCGTTTGCATCTCCGGATTCGGTTTGAGGTGGAATAGTTCGGATTTCATTGAATGGATCTTGAGAAGGCTTGTGTCTTGTTTTTAAAGAGGGCCGTATCATTTATTCGTATCATGTTTTGAATTGGGTGAATGGAATCGAAAATATCTTGGACCGGCTGGACGTACAATTCCAGTGTTGGATGTTTTACGCATTCGGGTAGATTTCGGATTACAGTACTTCCCCTCGGCTCATGATTCCTCGTGTCCGTTGCTTTAGAGTGTAGGTCGTGTTAGTTTGCTCGATTGATGACAGCTGTTCGTTTCATTGCGTACGCAGGAGTCACGAGAACCGTTTCCATGAAAATTGAAATTTTCTAACTGAATCAACTGGCCACTCGGTGATGCCGCCCGCGATAGATGATCATGCGGATGTTCTGTTCCGCCCTGATTACGACTTTTGCTCCAATTCGGATCGTTTTATTGTAAAAGACCGAAACTACGTTGTGCAGTACGCCCCGTTGTATGCATGTCGGTTACGCCAGGTTTCGAAAGCCGTTCGAGAGAATGTGTTGGAACGTTTTGGTGAGTACCTCGAGATTTGTTTATCCCCTGCGGGTTAACAAATCTTTTTTTGTACATTGTTCCTTTTTCCTATTGAATGCGTTCAGGATTCACAGAGGGCATGAATAAATTGTACTGTATTTCACTTATCAGGTAAGGATGTCATTATGACAGAATTAGCAGACCTCGCCGTGCATGCCGGAAAAACGTGTGTCATCATCGGAACCTTATTCAAGCACCAAGGATTGAAGCCTTCGATTCTGAAAGAAATCAGCGAAGAACACAACTTGGAACCTCAGCCAATCCTCAGCAATTTCGTCGGCGAAGATGATGAACTGATTCTTGAAGACGAAAGTCAACGCATTCGACTGAAGAACGTCGACACGAATTCTTTAGTTACTGGCGTTGTTGTGGCTGCGTACGGTCGCGAAGCTGACGGAGGAACTTTCGTTTGCGAAGAACTGATTTTTGCTGGGGATCGTGTGTTGAAGCCAACGAAGAGACTGCGTCCTGTGAGCAACAAGTATGTTGCTCTCGTATCTGGATTGTGTTTCGATGGTGGTGTCGAATCGAAGCTTGAGTTGCAACTGTTCTTGGACGCCATGAAGGGAACTTTTCCTATTCCCGGCCTCGAAGTTGAATCGATTGTTCGAGTCATCGTCGCGGGCAATTCATTAGCTCCGTGTTCAAGTGATAATCTCGACGCTCAAAGCGCATGGATTAAAGATTTGGACACGTTTCTCGCCGAGCTAGCGTCTGTGGTTGACGTCGATTTGATACCCGGGGAAAACGATCCGTCAAATTTCCAAATGCCACTCCAGCCATTGCACGCTTGTCTATTTCCTCGTGCAGATGCTTTTCCTGGTTTTAAAAGCGTCCCGAATCCGTATGACTGTGAAATCGATGGAGTGAGATTCATGGGTACTTCCGGTAACAATGTGAGTGACATCAAGCGAGTTTCCACCTTGTCGGACGTCGGAGATATTTTGGAGGCTTTGCTCCGTTGGGGGCACATCTCGCCAACTTGTCCTGATACGTTGGGTATGTTCCGTGAATAAACATTTTTTCAATCGTCATACTATTGAAAGATGAAAGTTTGTGAGATTTCTTCTCGGTAAGTATTGACTAACTAAGTTTCTCTACCTGCGTTTTTTCGGTTAAGCTTGAGAGAAGTTTTGGCGATTGTGTGTACATTTATAGTTTCTCTGACCATTTACGAAAGACTGTCATGGTGCAAAATTCACCCTGGAAAATCGATTTAGTAAATACAGATCTATGGCTTTTCTATTGGTTTCATCCGTTATCCTTCGAAGAATTTTATTTATAAATGGACTCTTTACAACGCTTCGAAATGTTGTGTAGAAGCGGCTTTGTAGGGTTAGGGTCTACTAAGAACAACTTCGTTCCGTGGAGAATTCCGGTTTGGAGGTTTTTTCTGCAAAGTAGTCAGTAGTCAATTTTGAGGTCTGTTTCGTTAAATATTTTTACTAATTATGTCAGCTAGAAGCTTGTATCCAGATTTCTAGATTATTCGCCGTGTAAAATGTTTTGTTGTATTTGGACACCCTTTTCAATTTTCGCAGGTTGTTATCCATACAGAGATGTAGATCCTCTGGTTATCGACGAAGTTCCTGACGTGTTCTTTTGCGGAAATCATGAACTCAGTTGCAGAAAGATCGAAATGGCTGTTCATCATGGATCAGAGACTGTTCCCGTACTCAGTCTATCAGTTCCCGCTTTCAATCAATCCAAGAAAGTCATTTTGCTGAACCTTCTTACTCTCGAGAAGAAAGAGCTGTGTTTCTCTGGTTTCTAAAGACCTGTGAATTTCCGTTCAAATATAATTTCACAGTTTTCTAGCTTCTGTCTCGTGTTCGTGTTTTTCTAGATGCTTGTTTGACGGAAGAGTTAGATTTTCTGTTCTTATTGTTAGAAAAATGTGTGTATGATACGTGAAGTGAGGCCTTCGCGATTCATTGTTCAGCGTGTGTCTGTTTTTCGGCATGCAGCCATACGTCGTGTCGCCAAAGAGCGATTCTTTTGTGCAAATGAAGTGAGGTTCATGGAAACGTGTTGTGATGGAGAACCAATTGAGCTCGACTGCTAGTGTTCCCAGAGACTTAATGTCCCTGACTGATGAAAACGCGGAAGCTTTCGACGCAGGACGTGATTTAGTGAGTTGGAATTCATTACTTCTCGGCTCGAAGAAATCTTATTCTTGTCGAATATGCTGAATCATGTGTAACACTGAAGTCATAATCATCTAATTATACCAAAACCTGTTCAATACGCGCTCCTTGGTTTAAAAACGGAAGAAAATTATCTTAGAATCCAATTATAGTATAAGTTATATTCAATTACGCGCGAATTGATCTTTTTCATCCTGAATTTGGGCGTACGATGAACCTAGATTTACTTCAAAGACAGCTTTGACGAGAAAGGAGCCTAGTTTCAGGAACTTCAAGTACTTCTGTATTGATTTGTAGAAGCTCTTGTGTGGAGGGAATGATCGACTGGGTATCGCACCTCCATCCCGCTCGCCATCGTCGAGTCCGTCGGGTTCGAGTTCAGACACGGGTGACAATGACGACGTCGATGACGGTGACTACACTGCCGACGACCTGACGAGTTTGCAGCGTGAAGACAAACTATGGCTCCGTCTGGCTACGGGTGAAGAAAGACGTCAGCTGCTTGGCACGGAAGAAGAGTCCTCGGACCGTCATTCGTCAGCCGGGGAAGAAGAGGAGGAGAATGTGTGGAGAATCAGCGGCGAGCAACAATGTTATTATGAAGAGCAGTTTGGGAAGTTGAGGCGTGACCAGGACGGGTACTTATCGGGGCAAGAAGCGAGAAGGTTTTTCGAGAAATCTGGGCTGCCGATTGCCGATCTTTCTTCGATTTGGTGAGTTGAGTTCAATTGCATTCTGAAGGCATCAACTTTTTGAAATCTCAGCTTATGCGTAAGGTTACAGTGACGTGTAAGAACTGCACTTTTCTGCTGCCAAAAATGCTTCTTATTGGTCTTGTCAACGTTCGATAGACCCTTAATTTTTCATGTTCAAATTTTTTTTTTTTTCGAAAATAAAATTCTCTTAGGAATATGTTATACTGTAAGATGAAAAAAAAAGAAAGACTAACACGCTGAGGTCGTGGCTGAACGACGAAATTTAGCCCTGAGTCTGTGATCATTAAGTGCAGTAGTCATTGAAACGAAAAAAAAAGCCGCAGGAAAATTCTGCTTTGGCAAGCCTATTTTTTTATTTTCGGAAAAGATTTTGCATGCGTCGGGTAGGAAAAGGGTGTTCAATTATATGTATGTGTCTCTCGACTTGGGAAAACCTTTCTTAATTTTGAATTTAATTTCAGGCAACTAGCGGATGTGACGCAGGATGGAAGGTTGGATAAAGCGGAATTTTTCACGGCCATGCACCTGACTGTACTCAAACGCCATAAAATCGAAGTACCTGAAGTTCTTCCTCCTTGTCTTCATCCATCCCGAATCCTGACGACTGAAGTGAGTAGTGTCTTTGAAATTGGGACTCAATTTCCCTGGAAACTTTCGGAAGGGCTAGGGTTGTAAAGGGCCAATTATTTGTGAAAAAACATGAACATTCTATAGATGACGTCGTGGCTTTAGTGGAATTTGGACGAGGTGTTTCCGAATTTTGTGTGAACCCGTATATGTGTGTGTGTGTGTATTTGCGTGAATTCTTTTTCTGCTGCAAAAGAGGGAAAAAGAGAGGCCTCGAAGTCCTCCGCCCCCGGCTTGCTCGCCTCCGCCACTTCCTTCCGCTTACTCTCCGCCACCGGCGAATTTCGATTACTCGCCATGTCGTGTGGAAAAGGTTCCCCCAGATTTCTCTTTAGACGTTTCTTTGAATCATTTTCCATGCCTTCATTTTCTTTTTTCTTGGTTATTTTGTTAATTTTCGCTTGGTTTACTGTCAGATCTGAGTTGACGTTGATGAGTGATGTATACAGGATAATTTTTAGTATTGCTTTATGCGAATTTTCTGCTTGGCTTGCTGTTCGGTTAAGTTTTGGGTGTTGTCAACGTTGTGTGTGGTGGACCAGGAAATGTGAACCCATTTCCTCAAATTTCAAGGCATTGCATTAAAAAAATATGTCGAATGAAATATTCAGTTCTCTCTCTAATCATGTGCCGGTTTCATAATTCCAGTTACACTAATTTGGCAGTCTATTTGAATGACATACCGTTATACCTTTTTGTTCGAATAATTTGCCGCAGTCTTTCATACGAGGTTTGATGGGAGTTCATGCGGAAGTTGTCCCAGTTCTGTTTGTCTTTCGAATGAAGTGTTCCGAAATGTTCAGCGACTTTTTGACGTGTCGGAAAAGATGAAATGGAATAATTAGTGGTTGCGGCAGATTTTAGGTTCCTGTCTCATTTCTTGGAAATCTTCTTGAAATCAGTTCTTTTGCATACTTTTTCGCGTTTTTTGATCAGATTATTCCGAGAAAATTTAATGTCCATTCTAGGTGAACTAGCTCAAGTAAAATCGTAGAATTGATCGCATTCAAGGAGAGAATTGAAGGAGTTTTAATTTTTGCTTTTGAGATACCACAGCATGAAAAGTCGGTCTACTTTTTCTGGTTCACCCTCTGGCTTATCCTCGTTTGTGATGTGTCGTTCATTCTGTTCTTTTGGGCTTTTTGCTGCGCAGGATCCAAGGATTAAGCATCCAAAAGCAGTTCGTCTCACGCCGGAGATGGTTTTTGCGGGAGTGGAGAAACAGAACAATATCATACCGGACGGAGTGATGCATTTGCATACGCAACGAATCCGCGTGGACGCGTCCGAGATCAAAGGCATTCAAAGGCCGACGCCGAGAAAAACGAGACCTGATGTCCGGCAAGGCGGCGTCGTTGTTGTTCCTAGTATTCCGCCGCCCGTCGGCGATGACTGGTTTGTTTTCGTTGGTTTATTTTTGAACAAGTAAAAATTTATGTATTTTTTGTTCTGGTAAGACGTATCGATGATTTTCTCGCCTCATCTCATACGGGGTTATAGGATTTTATTTGTCCACTTTCAAAATTTGCTCATGAAGTTAAGAGCTTCGAAAATGGGATGTTCTTTGTTTTCAATTTTCAGCTTAAAATGCTTCTCTAGCTTCATTGGGGTTTTGACAATTTTCGTGCGCTTGAAAAGTTTTCATACTACATGATAAATTTTCATGCTTTTTCGGTTCTGCTGGAAATCGCTTTGGTCAAAGTAGATATCGCTGATGGCTTCAACGCGACAGTAATTTAATTTCATCATTTGTCTGCGGAATTCTATCTGCTTGTGTGGTCTTCTCGATTATTTACCAAAATACAGGAGGAAATGTAAGAGCTGAAATCGTAACGAAAGAAAAGACTTTTTAGCCATTGACATTATTGCATGAAGAAATATGTACACGTTCCATGTACAGCCATGGGGAAGGATTTGAACCAACAATGGATTAGGAATCAAATGTCTGTTTATTTTGGAAAGGGCCAAACGAGTTGAGAAGTCTGAGAACTTATTCCTACTCGTATTCAAATTTATTCTTTTATTTATCATTTTCAGTATTGGTCCGGCGAGTTTACCTCCAAACTTCATAGCAGCTCCTCCTCCACCGCCACCGGTGGCTCACGTGCACCAGAAAGTGCCCCACGTGGGCGGAATGCCGCCACCGCCGCCACCTCGAGTGCCCGTGAGGTCACATCACGCTCGTTCTTCCTCGCTGGACTTGAACAAATTAGATATGGATAGCCCACCTGGACAACCGCCTGCTGTTCCACCCCGATCTTCGCCTGCTCCAGTGGGTTTGATTTGTTTCCCTTTTCGCGAATGATTTGTTGTTGTTGAAGGGAAATGGCTTATTCTGCTCTTTTTCGTGTCTTCTTTGATTAGGCGGTGAAGCCTAGGGGACATACGTTGACTGGTGCGACTGATGCAAGTGGGTTGTCGGCTTTGATGACATCTTCGTTGGTGATCAATGATGCGAGACCTTCGGCCTTCCGGGAATACAAAAGACCCGGATCAGGTGTGTTTATATATATATATTTATTTTTTTTCGTTTGTTTTTGTTTTGCTTCAGAAACTCATTCACGATCTTGTCTACAACGTTATTCTGTGTATACCGATATTTTTGGTCCCATAGGCATAGGGTTGTAGGGGTTTCTTTGCAACAGAATTCTCTTTGCACCGATTCTTTCCAGATATCTTCAATATCTATGTTGACAGAGTCCCACACGCATTGAAATACATTATTTAGTAGGTTTGTTGGATAATCTGGATTTGCTTAATGTCACGTTAATTCTGGTTGAGGCTTTTGCGTGCATTTCACGGCCATGCACCTGACTGTACTCAAACGCCATAAAATCGAAGTACCTGAAGTTCTTCCTCCTTGTCTTCATCCATCCCGAATCCTGACGACTGAAGTGAGTAGTGTCTTTGAAATTGGGACTCGATTTCCCTGGAAACTTTCGGAAGGGCTAGGGTTGTAAAGGGCCAATTATTTGTGAAAAAACATGAACATTCTATAGATGACGTCGTGGCTTTAGTGGAATTTGGGCGAGGTGTTTCCGAATTTTGTGTGAACCCGTATATGTGTGTGTGTGTGTGTGTTTGCGTGAATTCTTTTTCTGCTGCAAAAGAGGGAAAAAGAGAGGCCTCGAAGTCCTCCGCCCCCGGCTTGCTCGCCTCCGCCACTTCCTTCCGCTTACTCTCCGCCACCGGCGAATTTCGATTATTCGCCATGTCGTGTGGAAAAGGTTCCCCCAGATTTCTCTTTAGACGTTTCTTTGAATCATTTTACATTCCTTCATTTTCTTTTTTCTTTGGTTATTTTGTTAATTTTCGCTTGGATTACTGTCAGATCTGAGTTGACGTTGATGAGTGATGTATACAGGATAATTTTTAGTATGGCTTTTTGCGAATTTTCTGCTTGGCTTGCTGTTCGGTTTAAGTTTTGGGTGTTGTCAACGTTGTGTGTGGTGGACCAGGAAATGTGAACCAATTTCCTCAAATTTCAAGGCATTGCATTAAAAAAATATGTCGAATAAAATATTCAGTTCTCTCTCTAATCATGTGCCGGTTTCATAATTCCAGTTACACTAATTTGGCAGTCTATTTGAATGACATACCGTTATACCTTTTTGTCCGAATAATTTGCCGCAGTCTTTCATACGAGGTTTGATTGGAGTTCATGCGGAAGTTGTCCCAGTTCTGTTTGTCTTCGAATGAAGTGTTCCGAAATGTTCAGCAACTTTTTGACGTGTCGGAAAAGATGAAATGGAATAATTAGTGGTTGCGGCAGATTTTAGGTTCCTGTCTCATTTCTTGGAAATCTTCTTAAAATCAGTTCTTTTGCATACTTTTTCGCGTTTTTTGATCAGATTATTCCGAAAAAATTTAATGTCCATTCTAGATAAACTAGCTCAAGTAAAATCGTAGCATTGATCGCATTCAAGGAGAGAATTGAAGGAGTTTTAATTTTTGCTTTTGAGATACCACAGCATGAAAAGTCGGTCTACTTTTTCTGCTTCACCCTCTGGCTTATCCTCGTTTGTGATGTGTCGTTCATTCTGTTCTTTTGGGCTTTTTGCTGCGCAGGATCCAAGGATTAAGCATCCAAAAGCAGTTCGTCTCACGCCGGAGATGGTTTTTGCGGGAGTGGAGAAACAGAACAATATCATACCGGACGGAGTGATGCATTTGCATACGCAACGAATCCGCGTGGACGCGTCCGAGATCAAAGGCATTCAAAGGCCGACGCCGAGAAAAACGAGACCTGATGTCCGGCAAGGCGGCGTCGTTGTTGTTCCTAGTATTCCGCCGCCCGTCGGCGATGACTGGTTTGTTTTCGTTGGTTTATTTTTGAACAAGTAAAAATTTATGTATTTTTTGTTCTGGTAAGACGTATCGATGATTTTCTCGCCTCATCTCATACGCGGTTATAGGATTTTATTTGTCCACTTTCAAAATTTGCTCATGAAGTTAAGAGCTTCGAAAATGGGATGTTCTTTGTTTTCAATTTTCAGCTTAAAATGCTTCTCTAGCTTCATTGGGGTTTTGACAATTTTCGTGCGCTTGAAAAGTTTTCATACTACATGATAAATTTTCATGCTTTTTCGGTTCTGCTGGAAATCGCTTTGGTCAAAGTAGATATCGCTGATGGCTTCAACGCGACAGTAATTTAATTTCATCATTTGTCTGCGGAATTCTATCTGCTTGTGTGGTCTTCTCGATTATTTACCAAAATACAGGAGGAAATGTAAGAGCTGAAATCGTAACGAAAGAAAAGACTTTTAGCCATTGACATTATTGCATGAAGAAATATGTACACGTTCCATGTACAGCCATGGGGAAGGATTTGAACCAACAATGGATTAGGAATCAAATGTCTGTTTATTTTGGAAAGGGCCAAACGAGTTGAGAAGTCTGAGAACTTATTCCTACTCGTATTCAAATTTATTCTTTTATTTATCATTTTCAGTATTGGTCCGGCGAGTTTACCTCCAAACTTCATAGCAGCTCCTCCTCCACCGCCACCGGTGGCTCACGTGCACCAGAAAGTGCCCCACGTGGGCGGAATGCCGCCACCGCCGCCACCTCGAGTGCCCGTGAGGTCACATCACGCTCGTTCTTCCTCGCTGGACTTGAACAAATTAGATATGGATAGCCCACCTGGACAACCGCCTGCTGTTCCACCCCGATCTTCGCCTGCTCCAGTGGGTTTGATTTGTTTCCCTTTTCGCGAATGATTTGTTGTTGTTGAAGGGAAATGGCTTATTCTGCTCTTTTTCGTGTCTTCTTTGATTAGGCGGTGAAGCCTAGGGGACATACGTTGACTGGTGCGAGTGATGCAAGTGGGTTGTCGGCTTTGATGACATCTTCGTTGGTGATCAATGATGCGAGACCTTCGGCCTTCCGGGAATACAAAAGACCCGGATCAGGTGTGTTTATATATATATATCTATTTTTTTTTCGTTTGTTTTTGTTTTGCTTCAGAAACTCATTCACGATCTTGTCTACAACGTTATTCTGTGTATACCGATATTTTTGGTCCCATAGGCATAGGGTTGTATGGGTTTCTTTGCAACGGAATTCTCTTTGCACCGATTCTTTCCAGATATCTTCAATATCTATGTTGACAGAGTCCCACACGCATTGAAATACATTATTTAGTAGGTTTGTTGGATAATCTGGATTTGCTTAATGTCACGTTAATTCTGGTTGAGGCTTTTGCGTGCATATGCTCACTTGCCAATGCTCATCCAAGGTAATCAGAGTTGACTGTTCTTTTTCATCGAATTTGGCCAGTTTTGCTTGGGATAGTGGTGATGGAGTAGATCCGTTTTATGTTAATTAGTTCGGGCGAGTGTTAAATTATATATATTGGCTTTATTACTCTCATTGGGCGTCTGCAATCGTGTGTCAATCTTTCACTAATCATCTGAAGTTAAGCTGATTTAGATGGTGAGGATATGTTTGTTAATGGCAATTATTACGAAGGAATTAGGCTGTGTTAGTGAGGCGTATAATTGAGTTGGTTTGGTTATCAGGATTTAAACAACGGAGTGTTTCGTCATGTTATGATCTGTTAGTTGGGTAACACTTCGGAGCGGTGCGTAAAAATTTACGTGGAATCGAAAGCATCCCTCGTCATCTTTTTTGCTTCACTCTAAGTCTGATATTAACTAACAGTATTGTTTTGGTAGCATTCGCCATTTTTTCTCTGAAATTTGTTACGATGTCACTGCAGATCTTACTTCGTAAATTAACGGGAGTGAAATTGTGCGCCAATAAATTGTATATAACAATTTCAGATGAAGAGGGAGGAGAGCCCGGAGCAGCGTGGACTCGCAGTTTGTGTGTTCTAAACTGGGAAGATGAAAGAAAAGATATGAAGGAGCGTGTGGCTGCTTTGTTAGCAAGAATACCCTTGCAAAACTCAGAGTGAGTGATATTAATAACATTTTTGTTGTTGAAATAAATTTTAAATGCTGGCAAAATGAATCCATGATGTAATTTGTCTTATATCAGTTTCTATATATATTTGAAATAAGTATGATACATTTTAATTTTGGTGAAATGCAATGGATTCAAATTATTTGACTCATGATTCGAATTTGAGAAGCGTGCAAGCTATGACTTTCAAATATCCTGTTTAATCCACCTTCAGTTCCAGATGAAAAATTCTTCCTAAGATACACTTTTTCAAACGTTTTCCTTTGTTTCAAACTAAAACACCACGCAACAGGAACTTGTTACAAAACATCACCCTTCTGGATTGACCTAGTTCATAAAATTGATAACTCGAATGAAATATACTATACTGTGGAATCCAGGAATTTATAGGTATGTGTGATTTTCGGAAAAATGTTTTTCATCTTTATCTTACGAAATGAAAGCCGAGCTGCGCAAACTTCAGTACGGTGCTGCTATTTGTAAAGACAATTTTCCCACTAAATATTTTATTTTAAACCCTTGATTCCGCTTCAAAAACATTATGTGAACATCTTTTCAGGGCGACGCGAGAGGAAGTGAGTGCAGCTGTGAAATGGCTGCAAGAACGAAGACAAACGATCAATGCTGAGATTGCGGAGCTCCAGTCAGATTTAACGTTTCTCGTGGCTTCTCGGCAAGTGATGGAACAGTCGTCTGGTGGAACTTCCGAACACTGATCTTCCTCTTTCGAAACGAATCTTTTTCTCGAATCCGATTTTCTCCTCATCCGACAGCTTTTCCTGTTCATTTTGATTCCGCACGAGTGCTTTTGAGTGCCTCACCCAGATTTAAGGTGATTTTTATTTGCAAGGAGTTAGTGTCACGCGGGGAAAGGAAGGAAGAAATCCAGAACCCTGCGGTTTCGTGCTTGGATGACATATCAGGTCCATTCTGTCACATGTGAGACTTGACTGGTGTATTTTTTCAATTTCAATTGAGAATTTTTGCGAAGAACTGATTTCTATTTTGTTAAACTGATATTTTAACGATTTAACCGTGAGCTGAGAACTGAAAGTATTAAAGTTAACATCCTGATGCTTGTACTCAAGAAAACCATTGGCTTTTTAATTGCAATTAAATTTGACATTCATGTCATGTTCTGATGTTTATAATTTACTTTTACATATTGATGAATGGCTTTTTGATAAAAGTATGTTTTTCCTAGTCCAGTAAAAAGGTTTATCGAGTGTAAGTGAACTAACGACCTAAGTTGTACCTTTGTATCCTAGCCTGAGTCAGACATTTTTACAGAATATTTTCCACCTGAGGAAAGGGCGTTCAATTATTTATTTTTTAAAGAGATGTGTTCGGAGTGATTAACCAGGATTTATTATGAAGATTTTCATTTTATAGAGGACTATGGTTAGTGCTGTAATGAGTGAATTGATGGTTAAATTAAATTAGTGCTCGTGAATTTCAGCCTGCTTGAACGATATTTTGCTCCTTTTCGGAATGCTTTTCCTAGTATTTCTCCTAATTTAAAATATTGTTATTTTTCAAGTGAAAGAACTGATGATCGAAGTATTTTCTGATGCTGAATTAGTAAGCGTCAGAAATAAAATAGATTTTGTTGCATTGTTCTAAAGCTTAATACGATTGAGCGTATCTCAGGAAATTTAATCATAATAATGACCGACGAAGTGAGTGGTTCAAGATTGCTTGCAGAACCAGAGGCTTTTTTATCGATTCGAAAGGTTGGGTTCTGGAAATTTTCATTCCTTTTCTTTAGTTGACCGAACCGACTTGCTTTCGGGTCCTGCACAAAACGCAGTTCCGCAGGGGGTGCTTGTGAGGTGCATATGGAAGTGTGTAGGTGCAGGCTGTGATTGAATCCTGTTCCGGCTGGACGATGTATCTTTTGTCCCTCACTCTCGCATGAAAAATTATCAAGTACCAAGAATATAATCGCGTATTGGACGCATGCTATCATTTCGATAATTCTTCGTGTAATCCAGTTTATTCGTGTTCAGATTTCAGGTCACTTGGGCAAGGTTCCAATCATGGGGACTACGATGCAAATTCTTCTTATTTTTTGTGTTTCGTTGAACGTGCAGTTCATCAGACCCCGTCTAATGTATTTGATTGACCATCCCTTTTCATGATCAGATATTGAATTGCAACTTCTAAAAGCTGTTTTTTCGCAGCACTGCCTTGAAAACTTCAGAGAGTATTCTTGTCAATCCATAAACATGTGCCTCTTTTCTGCGACAAAATTCAGAGGACCAAAAGAAATTCGTTGTGGGAAGAATTTTGTTGTAAGTAGAACCCCTTTGGGATCAAATGCCATAATTCGTTATCTGGACAAAATCGTTGTGGAGAGAGTCAGCTTGTATTTTCGATACCAATTTTAATCAAAAGGTATCCGAAGTGAATCATCGCCTTTACACCCTTAAACAATGCAGCCTCGTTAGAAAACCAGAATTGAGTCTCCTTCAAAACTTCATCTTATCATTGTATAGACTGATTGAGTAGAGTTATTTCTTTATCTTGAGTCAAGAAGCATGGTTCATTGCTCGGAGCAACAGGAAATTAGCCGCGTTAAGTGCCAAGAAGTGTTTGGTGTCCTGAGGGAAACTGTGAGAATCAACGCCGATGATCGCGATTGCGAGGAGCAGAGTTGCCAACAGCAAGCTTCCGTTGCCGACGAAAATGCACAAGAGAGCCAAGGTGTACAACGAAGCCACCACAACTGCGTCGTTGTACTGGTCCACAAATCGGTAGTACTTCGGTGCCTGTGGTGGAAAATGCAGACTAGTTAGATTGTTATTTGTTTTTCGACATGTTCCTGCAAATCATCATTTTGGAACGCCGGTTTCGGACATGCAGATGATATTTTATTGCAGAAAACGTCTGCGATAGAAAGAAAAGTACAGTAAAATTTCGTTGAAACGAATTTCCAGGGACCAGTAAAAAAAATCGCTGAAGTGAGATTTTTTTTTTTATAGTAGCCCTAAAACATATGGGGAGTTGACGCTGGGGTACCACCAAAAATTCTTTCTTTGGAGAAGATTGTTCTAAACGGAGTCTACATGTAATGCCAATTCTTTGAGATCCGTGGTTCTTTCAGCATTTAGGACTGACACTTTTGCTGAAAACAAGTAATAAATGCATTAAAGTTACTCCAACAAAAATATGTGAAGAATTGTCATAATTTCCATCTTCTTTTGATCAAATGCGGAAGAAAATTCGAATTGTAAAATAAAATTTTCTTCATGCTAACATTTAACATTTTCTTATCTTACTGAAATATAGCTTTAAACAGTCAGAAAATTCACCAGCAAGAAGAGCGTTTTCATTAACTGCATGTCCCGGAAAATACAGCAGCACCCTTCCCAAAATATTTTTTTTAATTAGCCATTTTAACATTTTGAAAGGCTAAATAAATGAAGCTACATAAATTTTGTTGAGAGCATCATGCCTCGTATTGCTTGCAATGCCAAATCTTCTGTACAAGAAAGTACAGTACAGTACATGATTTCCAATTTTGTTGATTTTTTAAATGAGCTAAAGTTGGTTTGTTCCAACCCCAACTAGTGAGAATTTCTGTGGTCCCATGACTCCAGCATGATAAAATAAAAATTAGTTATACAGTACTGAGATTATAGGGGAAATGAGTTTGTTAATACTGTAGTAATGAAATTAATAACATGGCCCCTGAGAGGATCGTGTTTGGACCAAGAACAAAAATCGATAAAGCGAGCTTGATTGTCTTGGAATTGTATTACATCTTAATATTGACCTGATAGAAAAGCAGCGGTGGTGAGATTCCAACCAGGAAAGTCCAAGCGAACCCGTGCAACCCGTAGCTCGTCAGAAACTGTGCCACCAGAAACGGAAGCCCAATCCCACTGATGACCCATTTGGAATACAACAAAGGATAAAAATATAAATTGGCATCATTAGATCCGTGAACGGATGAAGCCGCGATTCCGACCAAAAAGTTTATGAAGAACCACGCTTGGATGTAAAACTGCGGCGGTGATCTGTTGTCTTCGGCGCCGGGTTTTGTAGGATAGGAAATGTCACGAGGATTAGTTGAAGCTGAATTTTCTGTAGAAATCGCAGTGGATGAAGAAGGAATGAATCTTTCCGGAGTTTCCCCGAAATTGTAGAGACAGTATAAACCAGTGAAAATCAGAGAAATGCGTGAAAGGAGAGAAATGTTTAGGAGCCGGTTCATGGTGTCTCTTGGCTAAATTTCTAAAATAAGAAAAGTTCATTATATATCAATCGTTTTTAACCCTGAAACTATACTATGATGAACTGATGAAGGTACTCTGAACCGAATGTCACGCGAATATCGACCATTTCCCGATTATTGAAAAACGACGAAGAAAAAAACGGCGAGAAAAATATGATCTATGAAAATGTATACGTGCTATACGTAAATGTTTAAAAACTGGAGTTGCACTCGAACAGTGATGTTAGCCACGAGAGTTGTTCTATAAGATCATCTGATTTCTTCAACAGGACCTCATGTTTTCCCGATCAGTTTGGCATGTACCTGATTTAATGCAACTTGAAATTTGAGAAGCTTGATCGGCATGCAAAACACACAGAGGTCACTCCCAGTGTCATTGAAAACAGCTTCGGGAAAATATATTTATCCTGTCTGATCAAGGAAACATTGAGACCGTGTTACGAAAGAGCAAGTTAAGCAATGAACCCTACACAGATCCTGATTTTGCACAGCTTCATCTGAAATTCCGGGAAAAAGAGTTGCCTCGTGTGAGAATTGAACTCACGACCCCTGGTTTACGAGACCAGTGCTCTGCCCCTGAGCTAACGAGGCTTCGTTGAGTTGATGCCTGATTATTGAAATATTGGAACAAAAGCAGGATGATATCCACCTCAGAGAATTATGGAAACGGTTTAAATTTCGCATGAAGAAAATTTACCGTTTGTGCTTTTATATGTCTTGCATGCGAAATGATCTCACGACCCGTGGCTATACACCTATACTGTAAATAAGACGTCGCGGCCACGTATGCTGCAGACGGAGCTTGCTTTAAATTTGATGGTTTTCTCACGAGTCACAACTCACAGGATGCCGCTGTCGTCATGAAGTCTCTTTTGTTAATTTAATTGGATTCTGTTGTTTAAAACTCATCGGAAATAATCAACTAATTAGTTTTCTTTTTACGTGCTGAATATAGCAAACCGCGTTGCACGAAATTCTTCGTGCTATAATCGAACATTCCGAAGAAAACAATTAAAATTATGACGCAGCAAAAAATTTTTCGCCTCATCAGCCAGCATATATTAAGCAGACATTTCATGTATAACTATTCTATATAGACATGTTTACATTATTTTGTAAATTTGTACAGTACTTTGAACCCATTGCTGGAGGAGGAAGAGGATATAAAGTCATATGACAATTCTGGACATGCATGATACCTATACCATTGTGCTAGTCCCAAATATAGTGCCCTAGTTTAACACCAAGAAAACTCATTTTATTCTGTATATATACACTGCGCCGAAGTTCCAGAGTTACAAACAAATACAGTAATACTGTAAAACAAAAAATCTGATATTTCAAATAGAACAAATTGACTTGTACCACTGCCATTGTAAAATGCACATGAAGTAAAGATAAATGTTGATATGCATTAAAACTCAAATTCATTTTCCAAAATGGCAATCTTCCTTTTAGTTTTTTCTGGGTCTTCAATGTATACAAGATGCTAGTTATGATTATTTTTTTAGTTTTTTGACCCCTTTTGATGCCAAATTCTGCAAAGGTTTCCTCTGGCAGATTTTTTTGTGCACTTGAAAATCAAGAATAGAATTGATAATCAATTTGTGGAAGAATTTTTCAATTTTCTTTAAAACCTGTGAAGTGAATAAAAAATTTTCCAGAAAAATATCCACTAAGTGATTTTTCACTAATTCACTATGTTTTTGCCTAATCAGAATGGACTTGCAAAATACATTTTTTGTGGTTCGGCTTCAATAATAGAACCTTCCACTACATACAATTGAGGCCAGAATGAAGAACACTCAAAACATCAAAAGAAAATAAGTCGGCAGGATTTATTTCCGCATCAGAATGTTGAAACACGAAGCAAATGCATGCTCTCATCAGATGTGACATTAAAAAATTGTGATTTCAATATAAAATCGTGGAGTTTTGCAATAAACCGCTTATTCCTCGTCGTCATCTCGGATTCAGTCAACCATTGAAAAAATCTTTTAATATTCACCTGCAAACTTGTTTCTTCTTCTCAAATTCCTTAAAATACTATTCAGTTTCAAATTTCAAAATAATCTTCGCGAGTAAAACCGGCCAAAATACACAAGTATCCTCAGGTCCCGAACAATCATTCCCGTCTCCTCGGAAAATAATACATATATATAATCCTTACAATTTTTTTTCTTCACAAACAGCTTCGGTTCTCTTTCCATACATAAATATATCTGTACCCTGTGCATCCTTGGTTACATATACTATCATACATTATTGCACTCATCCAAGAAAAAGAATAAGTCAGCGCGAATTTCGCAGTTACGTCCATGACAGTATATGAAGTAAGAGTTGGAAATGCGTCTTATTGTCCTTCGATGCAGTGGTGATGATGAATCAGTATATTGCTCTCAATCTACAGTCCGTATGTTCCTGTACCGTTTCTCTTGAATCAATAGTGAATTTTGGAATTGATTTATTCTCCGAGACACGCAGTGCGCACAATGATTTCAGTGACTGCGTATGGATCGCAATTGGAAGACGGACGCCTGTCCTCCAAATATCCGCATTGATCAGCAGCTACGTTTCGCGGAATTCGGATGCTGGCTCCGCGATTGGCAACTCCTGCAAAATTGTGCGAGAATATTTTTGATGAACACAAATAAAAAAGGAAGCTAAAACGGAAATCATCTATACTCGTACAGTCAGAATTGAACGAGGACTCCAGCATTTAACGAGGCATTCTGAATCGAGAGTATCATTAATTTTTCCAAGTTTTGTGGCTTTTTTTTTTCAACATTATTGTGATTGGATGGGCATGAATAAAATTTCATTTTCCCTTATATTACAGACTAAAAAAAAACAGTATATCTTGACCTAAGCTCTAATTTTTTTTATCAAACTTTTTGAAATAAAGAGAAAACAGGAAATCAAATACATAATATCTTTCTACACTAAATTTTTTTAATACTGTATAGAGAAATGAGCTTTCAGCCAAAAATTCTAGAATTTTGTTGATGTTGAATAGATAAATATTGACATACTGTAGTTGTACCATAAATCCATTGATATTTCTTCATTTTTTTCTGAGTCTCGCTCACCCAGGTTGAAATTGAGAGGATAGAAGGAAGTTGAAAGCCACCCCATTACCACGTGGAAAAATGTGGTTGAAGAAAACAAAATGGAAGGTAAAATGTAAATTGTCTAAAGTCAGAAATGAAGGAGTCCAGGATTTGAAGTGTACAATACTTGTATTATGAGGCATTCAAAATCGAGAGATTCATGATTTTTTCCATGTTTTGTGGGTAAATATTGACACAGTAATTTTATGATTTCACATTTTATTATGCCCAGACACCACATATAGTTGCTAAAAAAATTTTCACAAATAATGTTAGCAACGCCTCTCATTCATGAGGTTTCAAGAAAATAGGGGTTCTCTTATTTTCACGTTACTTATGCTGAATTTTTCTCAGAATGTTCATTGGTCTGCTGAAAGTTGTTGCAATTAATGTTTGGCAAATTCTTGCAAATAAACAAGGGAATTGGTTTCAAATCCATTAATGCATTCTGATCCCGTTATTGATTCTTTGCGGAATTCTAATTCAGTAACTTGATAATTAAAAGACATTTTTCCTTGTTTACCTGTAGGAAACGTCTGAACCATTACTTATTTGTGCCTTATCAGCAATTTTTATATAAAAAAAAACCTCATCATGGTCTGAATTAACTGGATGCAAAATTCCTGCGTTTCTCAATACGCTGCAGAGATTTCAGAAATCAAAAGAACACTTTTACAAGTGTATTTCATGCATTAAGCTACAGCAAAAAAATTTCATTAATTTCTGCCGAAGCCTGAAAACTTACCAGCTGAGAAATCATGAATACTGGATGTTTCATGCCTTCCAGTAAGTCTCCTTGCATTGTCTTTGCCTTCCTTGGGATCATATGCTCGGATGTGAGTCTCATGCCTCAATGACAATTTGTCAATTGCAGCTTCAATTGCCCTGTAATAGAAATTCAAGCATGTAAAACAAATAAATCTTGGCGTGAAAGCAATTAATTTTTCAAGGGGTTTCTCAAAAGGTTGAAAAGTTGCAAATAAAAATTCATGGTATGCAAATGAAGGCTGGCATCATTTTTTTCTCAATAATTTTTTATAAAAAGGATGCATCTCATTAAAAGTATAATTGTTGAGATACTCTTAGATCTGATTTTACATGGACAACAAATGTTAAAACTACTGGAAAATCCTTGGATTTTATTACCAGCATTTTTTGCAGAATACAAAAATTGCCCAAGGGGCTCTTGGTTATCTGTTTCAAACAAAGGCCATATTTAAGTAGCAGTTATATTCTTGGACAACTTTAATCAGGAAAATTGACTGTAATTTCCACCAAAACTTTCAAAACCATATACAGGTGCTGCCTCACAATTTGACCATAATACGTTGCCCAGTAAGGGTTGAATTGCAAGACTAAGTCAAATTTGTTGTTTTCTGCATCAAATTTGACATTTTGAGTCCCCGTGCGGGCTGAATTGTGGGCAAGAGGTCAGACTACAAGTCAACATCCCAGCAAATTTGACAAGTCAAATTGCACAATGTTTGAAGTGCAGGATGGTTAAATTGCAGGATGACAAATTGCAAGGTACCACCTGTAGCAGGATTCTGAGGCCTGTCCTTAATTTTCTGAAGGATAATTGAAAACAAACTGGAAAATTCTAATAAAATGCGGTCAGTTAGCAAATGTAACAGCAAAAATAAATTTAAGAACCCCAGTAAAAGTTGTAGAAAAGTTTTTAAAATTTTAGAGGATCTCCTTAAAAAAAAGCAAGCCTATAAATTTAATTTTTAGGTTATTCCTGATTCTCAAACCGATTCCGAAAATTTCTCAGCTTGATCCACATTCGTATGGCATTTCATTAAAAATTTTATACAATCATTTCTTGTCTGCCTTACGTTATGCCATTTGGCTGTCGCATTTCTTCAGTGGAAAAATTGCAATGAGCCCCAGCTCCATTCCAGTCACCAGGGATGGGTTTCGGATCCAGACTCACAACTACGCCAAAATCTTCAGCAACTCTGTGCAAAATGAACCTGGCTATCCACATTTCATCCCCCATCTTGATCCCTTCGCAAGGGCCAACCTGGAATTCCCACTAAAAAATAGGAAAAAAAAATCCATCATCCCTTCCTTTCCAATAAATCAGCTATTTTTGCATTCGAGTCATTCGTGACCCAGAATCATAATAAATAAATCATCTTATCTCATCAAGAAAATATTTTGAAGAATACCGCTGTGATGAAAAAGTGCCGAGTCATGCAAAATAAACGCTTTTGTCTCGCACATGAACAAACCCCTGGGCCCTGAAGGACCTTTTATCTCTCAGAACGTTTGCTATAGTGACAAAAGCACAGTCACAGGACAAACAAATTTGTTTTAAAGATTAACGGTTTTCTTTTAAATTACACAGAGATTTTCAAACTTCTATCACGCTTGAAACTGCAGAGAAAAGTATTTATTCAGTAACTGTTTACTGAGTTCATCAGCTGGAAAACAGTTCCCCTGTCCCATTTTCTCGCGCCCATTGTGTGAAGAAGCGCAATTTTTTCTAATTTTGGTTAAAAAATAAATGAAATTAGTAATTTTTCCAGTAGTTGTGGGTGCGAGGAACTGGGACAGAAAATTTGTCTACTGGCATTATTTTTACTTTCCATTCTTTAGCTTCAGATTTATGAAAAAATGAACTTGAAAAAATTCAAAAATGTAAATTCGAAAAAGGAAAGGCTGCATATGTTTACAAATCATTAAAAATTACATAAAAAGGACAAGATCAGCATGAACACCTAAACCAATGTTTAAAATAAAAATTTATCTTATGAGCATTTGTTCAAATAATGTGCATGTTGACTGTTAATGGTGACATTTTATTGAAAATACTGTATATTAATTTGGAAATGAGTTGAAAGGTCATTTAGGGACTTTTAATTGAATTTTCCTTCAAGCAAGATAGCTCCAAACATTCAGGAGACATTTCTATTTTGAAATCAGTCAAATGTTTCTGACCACCTGCGTAACTTACTATTCTACTTGAAAATTTCTTCAGAATGTTGATGCAAGCATGAAAGTAACACAGCATTCAGTATTAGAATCTGTCCAACCAAAATTAAAAAGAATATTGAGCAATTACAATTTTTCACCAAATTTTATGAACTAAGATGAAATCACAGAGAAAAAAGTAAAAAATATCAATCGATCTTCAAGAAACAATATGAAAGTTTACTGAATTTGAGGTGGACTCTCCCTAAAAGGATTTTGTCTACAATTATTTTCTATTTAGAATAATTTTTGTCCCATATAGGACAAGGTTATATAGATTCTCTATAACAGAATTCTCTCTACTATGATGTTTTTCCTGTCTCTTGAATTTTGTTGTAAAGAGAGCCCACCTGTATTATCAAATGTTTCTCTACGTAATAATCAGGCCAATTTACATTTGAAAATAAAAATATGCACATAAAAGTTCAAATGCATTTCTCAACAGAATGCAATTTTCTAGATCAAGAAGAAGAAAAAAACTATCAAACCTGAGCTGGCATGACTTCAGCATTGGAGCCAGAAATGTTGACCCCAGCATACAAACAAGCCCTGTAGTGTGCCTCAACAACATCTCTTCCATAGACCTTGTCAGCCCCAACACCACAATAATAAGGCCCCTGGGGTCCAGGAAACCCATTCTTTGGCCATCCAAATGGATGCTTGTCACCATCCAGCAAAGTGTATTCTTGCTCTATGCCAAACCATGGCTTGTGCTCTGTTGCTTGGGTCATGGCTTCAAGGCAAGTCTTCCTCTTGTTGCTTGCTGAATTGAATATTTTTACAAAAACATATATCTACCTGATGAATTTCCATGCTATTTTGCGTACCTGTTGGGGTATTGTCATACTTGTAGGTATCACAAAGGACCAGCTTGTTTGAGCCTCCACGGAATGGATCTCTGTACACAGCAACAGGGTGTAGGTAAACATCAGAATTGCTGCCTTCAGCTTGATAAGTTGAGCTTCCATCATAGTTCCACACAGGCAGTTCTTGAAAGAGAGAATAAAATAAGATACCCAGTGTACAGAAAACCTAAAACACACTCAGTAATTTATTGTAGAATCTGCAAAAATTCAATGCAGACTTTGTGTTAAGCACATTGGTCAATACAAATAATTAATTGCAGAATGAAAATGCTCCAGCACCATACCAGGCATTTTGAATAATATATTTAAAAAATTTTCCAAGCACAATTCCAAAGAGCAAAAAACCTATTTTCAAAGGGGAGTGACACTATTTAGTCAAGTGATGCTGCTATGTTCTGATTCATTATTGTGAATTACTGTGGTTTAAAAAAAATAAAATCTGATAACGTCAGATTAATCAAGAAGTTTGAAGGTAAATAAGCTGATCCATCTTGTTGTCAAGAGAATATATGGGGTATGCTAGGACATGTTTATCTTAATTCGCTTCTCAAGTAAAAAAAATAAAATCTGATAACGTCAGATTAATCAAGAAGTTTGAAGGTAAATAAGCTGATCCATCTTGTTGTCAAGAGAATATATGGGGTATGCTAGGACATGTTTATCTTAATTCGCTTCTCAAGGGGCATTAATTTCCAGAGGCACATTATTTGAATAAATTCCATGTAAGGAATAATCTTTGTCAGATGCCAAGGCTTCCATGACCGAACAGTCTGTACACAGAACTTTAAATGTTAGATCAACAGAGTTGTTGAGTAAATATGATAACTGATAAGTACAACTAACAAAAGAAGTCATCAAATAAGGTCGGTCTGGTACCCGCAGTGCTGGTCCACACAAGTCTACTGGACATTTTCTGCAGCATAGTACATTTATCAAAATATTAGCAATGAAGCCTGTTATTCTTATATCTGAAATTATAGAAAGACAGGTACTCTTTAAAATATCTGATGAAAAAATGAAAGGTGGCTTTTCACCTAATAACACGTCAGACAAATTTTCATCTTCTGATTAATTATTTTTTATTTTGAGAAAAATTTCTTCAAGTCCACTTTTATAATCTTTAGAAGACTGCATCTGCTTCATTTTTTCCTAATTTTTGCAAAAGAAGCAGAAAATTCATAAATGCCTGCCATGGAGTCTGTCAAGCAAAACCTTTTTGATTATAATATTTTTTTAATGAAACTTCGCAAGTCTGCAAAAAATTTTATGGAAATTTGCTGGGCCCAAAAGGGTTATGGAAGACCAGTTTATTCAATTTAAATGGTTGTTGGATCCGATTTTTCTGAACATGACTTCTTTTTTTTAAATTCCAACACTGGAATAAAATACTGTACTGAAGAAAACAACCAACTTGAATATTCAATAATATCAAGGAGTCGTTCAGACAACTAGATTGTGAATTCCAGAACACATGTCTGATGAGCCAGTATCTTTCCTCAGTATTTGACTTGGAATATTCCCCACACCCAGTGCATTCATATAATGCCCCTGGAAATTAATGTCCCAAGAAAGCAATTAAGGAAAACATGTCCCATAACCTCACATCCTCCTGGCAACAAGATAAATCAGCTTCCTCGCCCTCCAACATATCCATTAACCATACCTTAAACGACCAAA